CCCCAGCCCTTCAGCGACTACGAGTCATATAGCAACACCTCGCGGCTGTACCTAAACATGGGGGAGGCTCATATATTCAAAACATTCCCATCAGATGCGCTGGTGCCGCTGGAGGACGAAGGCGTGGGACGTCTCAAGGGTATTTACGAGGCGTGGATTCCCAAACGTGGAGCGGTGACCAGGGATCGATTAAGTGGCGTGTTTACGTTGGTTTTCCTTAACTCCAGTAGCTGCGAAGGTACAATAAGCTGCCACAACACATCCCTCACTCGCAGGATTCGCAAACATTACGTGCAGTGTCTGTATTCAGGAACAGGTGTGCGTCGTGGATGCGGACTTATTGGGGACTCGCCATGCACTGGCATTGAGCTGTGGATAAAGGGAAGCTTGCCAGTCACTGGCCCATGGGTTCAATCCATGTATGTTCCGCCCGATGAGCGTCTGAATAAACTTTGTCTGGTAGCTGCGCCCAGATCGGATTTTTCAAAGGCCATCAACATGGGCCACTCGCTGATGGAACGGCCTAATCTAATTGCTGGTCCCAGGAAATCTGTGTTTGAGCTTGACAGCGATGTGTATATTTACGTCTGCCGCCTATCCCCTTGCTCATCCATCTGTTATACTGCTGCTTTGGCTGTGCGATCTAAAAGCGAGCCCCCAATGTACGAATTTCCGCGGATCCACCGTGCAGCAACTATTTCCACAGCCCAGCCGGGCACTGAAGCCACTAAACATATGCATCATCGACTGCGTTCTCCAAAACCAGGCAAAACCCGTAGTATCTATATACATGTCTACAGCAACTTTGCTAAAGATGGCCATACACGAACTGGTGGAGCTCGCTTGATGCTTCCTGGCTCAATCCAGCTGTCTAATGGTGACGGAATCCACCTTAGGAATGTTACTCCAGCTGCTGACATTAATATCAAGAACACTGGATTTGATCGTGCCCAATTTATCCTGATTGATATGCCTGGATATCAGGATGACAGCGAGGATGCTCGCAGCATATAATTTGTCGCTTATACTGTACTCTAATTGTTTTTTCTTTTGTTATTTCTTTATTTATAGTTAATTGATTACGTTTACTGCCCCCTTAAGTTAGATTTAAAATAATATTACTGGTCTAAGGTAGTTATTATTAGAACTTTGGAAATTCTGCTCAACCTCTCTATATACATAATGCTAATTACTATCGATAGAATATCAAGTTTTAGCGCAGTATTTGAATTGGTTTAAGTGGCTAAACTACAGAAAAAGTATAAATATATCAAAGATAAATAACAAAAGTGTCTATGCAGATTACAAATCTATGCCAAACAGATGATTTTAAAAAGCTAAGCGTACATTGATAAACTACTCTAAAGAGTGTTTTCAACAACATGGTTGGGCCTGCTTGGCGTAGTGGCATCGCATCTGTCTTGTAATTAAATTACGATTTAGAAAACAGAAGGTCGCTGGTTCGAATCCGGTAGTAGGCATTTTTTTTTTTTTTTTCCTCTCTGAAGCTGGGGCATATCTGCTTTTTTTTTAATTTTCATTAAAAATAACTAAGATGATCTACAATGTACTATTAGTAATCAGTGAAGGTAAATGGGGTTTTTAGTCGGTGGTAGCATTTATATTTTTCCTGATGCCATTGCATTCACTGGAAAATATTTAAAGAGAATAGTTTGCAATATCACGATCCTTTTTGCTGTTTTCATAAATAACAAAACTCTTTCTAAGAATAGACCATGCATCGGTCTTCATGCGGTCCAGAAAGTGTGTGTGCAGTGTGGACGGTAAATCATCATGCCAGCACATGGGTGGGAAGCTGCATGATTAACTCGGTGCTGGCATCCATTGAGATGCATTTATTTTGATGGGCGTAAATGGGACCTATAAGATTCAGAAAGGACGACGGAACAGTGGACATTTTTTATTGCTATTCTTTTCTCCTCTTTTTTCCACTATACAGATTTTTCCGCCCTTTTACCCTCGTACAACAACAACTTTCGCTCCCTCTCTCTTTTTCCCCTTTTTTAATCATGAAAATTTCGCTTTCTCAACTTGCTTTGTGTGCTGCATTGGCAGTAGCATCGGTCAATGCACAAGCAATTAATCCGGATGACAATGAGGCTGTTAGCAGTAATGGCGGAGGACAGCTTGGCGGAGGATCCTTGGATAACGGCAGCATTGGAGATGCAGTAGTTATTACCAACTCTAACCATGTTGAACCAACAGCTTCGAGCACGACTGATGGAGCCGATAACCAAGCCAAAGATAATACGCAACCGTCAACGGTCCCAGATGCCGGCAATGACAACACGCCTACTCCTCCCCCTACATCCCAAGCTCAAGATCAGCAGCAGGGTCAGCAAGGCCAGCAGAACCAGCAACAGGGCCAGCAGAACCAGCAACAGGGCCAGCAGAACCAGCAACAGGGCCAGCAGAACCAGCAGCAGGGCCAGCAGAACCAGCAACAGGGCCAGCAGGATCAGCAGCAGGGTCAGCAGGACCAGCAACAGGATCAGCAGAACCAACAGCAGCAGCCGGAGCAGTCCAACATACCTGCACCCACCCCATCTCAGGGCATTGACCAAGCTGAAGTGACTTCAGCATCCGATAATGCGGCTGGTGCTCCTGGAACCAGCGAGGCACAGAACAATGGATCGGAAGCTGACAATTCGCAGTCTGAGAATGAATCCGATGCCTCAGAGGAAGCTTCGCTTGAGGATGATTCTAGCGTGAAAGAGTCTTCGGGTTCTGACGAAGAAAGCTCTGAATCGGGCTCAACTAGTGAGGATGACCTGGACTCGGAAGAGGATGATGACTCAGAGACTACCAGTGGTGGTGCACGCATGATCGGTTTGCCAGCAATGGCAATTGTAGTTTCAGCTGCAGTTTCAGGAATGTTGTTCTGAGCGAAAAAAAAAATAATTTTTTCATTAAATAAAAAGCTTAATCTATAAAGCAGTCAGCATCACCAACGCGTTTACGTGAAAACTGTTTGCGTTTAAGAGGGTCAAGAATCTGTTTGCGCAGACGGATTTGAGAGGGGGTGATTTCGATAGCCTCGTCAGGGTTGACATAGGCGATGATTTCCTCCAGGGCCCAGGGCTTGACAGGGGTAAGGCGGATAGTTTCGTCTTTGCCAGCAGCACGGATATTTGTCAGCTGCTTCGCCTTGGTCGGGTTGACCTCAAGGTCATTGCCGTCCTTGCTCAGCTCACCGACAATCATGCCTGGATACACGCTATCGCCGTTGCGTACAAACAAGCGGCCGCGTGGCTCCATCAAGTTAAGAGCATACGAGGTGGCAGTGCCAGAGGACATGCACACCATGCTGGACTTGCGAGACTTTTCCAGCAAGCCAGCGTGCTCGCCATAGTGCAAAAAAGAGTGGTTCATGACGCCAGTGCCATGAGTGTCGTTCTTGAACTCGGAGGCATAGCCCAGCAGGCCGCGAGTGGGGATGTGGAAGACCAACCGTGCTTTATCGGCAACATCTGTAAAAGATTTGAGTTCGCCCTTGCGTTTGGTCAGTTTCTCAATGACAACGCCCGAAGCAGCATGGTCCACATCGATGGTGATCTCCTCATAAGGCTCCAGAATTCGCTGTTTGTTCTCAGGGTCGCGCTTAAACAGCACGCGAGGGGGCGTAACTGAGAGTTCAAAGCCCTCACGGCGCATGGTTTCGATCAGTACGGACAGCTGCAGCTCACCACGGCCACGAACCTCCATGGACTCGGATTTGCTGCCGCCGACAATCTGCAGAGCAACGTTAGTTTCGGCTTCGCGCAGCAGACGGTCGCGGATCATGCTGGAGGTCAGCAAAGATCCCTCGCGGCCAGCCAATGGCGAGTCGTTGACAGAGAACGTTACAGAGATGGTGGGCGGATCGACAGGGACAAAGTCCAGCGGCTGCATTACTTCAGGACTGGCGACGGTAGAATTGACACCGACGCTGGGAACACCACTGATAGCAACCAGATCGCCAGCACCAGCTTGGGCCATCTCGATCTGGTGCACGCCGCTGCGCAAAAACAGCTTGGTGACTTTGCCTTCCTCAGTAATCTCGCCAGAGCCAGGCGCCAGTACGCGGATGCGATCACCCACGCTGACGGTACCGCTGGCTACACGACCCAGCGCACATTTACCCAAGTAAGAATTGGCCTCCAGCTGCGTCACCAGCATCGAGAAAGGCGCACCTTCGCGCTGGCCACGCGGCGGCGGCACACGGTCTAGAATGGCATCCAGCAATGGGATCATGCTGCCATTGGTAGGCTGGCCTTGCGCTGCTGCGTCGCTGTACGCAGCAACGTCATCCAGGCTGCGTGAGCACCAGCCCTCTTTGGCAGATGCAAAGAGCATGTCATAGCTGGTCTGCTCGTCAGTTGCCCCCAGGGCTAAAAACAGCTCCAAGAGTTCTGAATCCACCTCGTCAGGGCGCGACGTGGGTCGGTCGATCTTGTTAAGTACCACCAGTGGATGCAGCCCACGCGCCAGAGCCTTTGTCAACACAAATTTTGTCTGTGCCATCGGGCCTTCCGACGCATCCACCACTAACACTACACTGTCCACCATCGACAGGATCCGCTCCACTTCTCCGCCGAAATCTGCATGCCCCGGCGTATCCACAATGTTAATGCGGTGGTCCTTGTACATCAGCGACGTCACCTTCGACAGAATTGTGATTCCTCGCTCCTTCTCTAGTGCATTCGAATCCATCACCCGTGTTTCTTGCATTGTTGTTCCTGAAAGCGCTCCTGACTGCTTTAGCAGACAGTCCACTAGCGTAGTCTTTCCGTGGTCCACATGTGCTATGATTCCCACATTGCGGATCCGCTCCATCGGGATCATGTCTCCTAGATCTGCCTTGCTGTCAGATCCCGATCCTGCTGCTGATGCTGCTGGTGCTTGCATGCGACTCTGTACGGTCGTGTGGATGCTAGCTGCTGTACGGGGTACAAGCATAGACATGGGCAGTGTGTGACCTGCACGTACTGTGCCAAAGGTTGCTAGTTGCCGCTGGCGGCTAGTTCGCGCTGTGCGCACTAGTCGGCGGCCCGCAACGCGAATAGCCGATTTCATTTCTAAATATAAAGATAACAAAGAGAAAAAATATTATAGTAATTTTTTCTTCATCAGATCACAGATAATTTTTTTCTTTTCTCCCCCAAATGAGCAGTGAAATTATACCAACTAGCCCGCCACGGAGCAACCCCAATATTTTGGTGACAGGTACGCCAGGAACCGGCAAGACCACCACAGCTGAGCTTATTGCACTGGCCACAGGGCTTAAAAAGCTGACAGTTGGCGACCTGATCAAAGAGCGCAATTTGCACGACGGATATGATGCCGAGTTTGACACGTTCATTCTCAACGAGGACAAGGTGCTCGACGAGATGGAGGACATGATGAGTGATGGCGGCATGTGTGTGGACTTTCACACATGCGAGATGTTCCCGGAGCGATGGTTTGATCTGATCGTCGTTCTGCGCACTACCACTGAAAATATTTACGATCGCTTGGAGAAGCGTGGGTACAAGCAGAACAAGATTGAGGAGAACCTCCAATGCGAAATCATGCAGGTCGTGCTGGAAGATGCCCTAGAGTCGTATAAGCCCGAAATCGTCATGGAGCTGTCCAGCAACACCGTGGAGGAGATGGAAGCCAACGTTGAAAAGGTGCTAGAGTTTGTCCAGCAGTTCCGACAAGCCCATTGATCACCGCTCCTATTTGTTAATTGATCAAAATGGTCTGTGCTAACTAGTTCCTGGATTTGGTATGTTGGGCGCGTGACTTTGGCCAATCCGCGCCTTTTTTTATCTTGCGCGCAAGTATTTCTTCCTCTGGTTCTTGCAAGATAAAGAGCGATAGTGTATGCCACACTTGCATGCTGAGGGAAAAGCACTTCTTTCTTTCCTTTCTTTAATGGTATTTAGATGAACACTTATGGCCTTGCCTACTTTTGATTCCAGCCCGATGCGGGCACCGCTGCCCACACTCACGCCTCAATTTGTCGCTCAGCACTATCCGCCCTACCTGCGTGTCGTGCACGTCGACTTGCTACATCGGCATGGCGAGCGCACTCCGGTTGCTCATCGCATTCCTCAGCTTTCGCCCAAGCACTGGAATTTTTGCGCCACTGGTAATCAGCTGCACCAGGACTTTCTCAGGACAGTTGGGCTTGTTACTGGCAGCCCAGCCACTAGGGATACCGATCAGCAACCCTTGCAGTGGCAAAACTACGTCTTCAAGCAAGATTCCCGAAGCAGTGCTGGCGGCTCGGTGTTTGCTGTAGCCAGCGCTGCAAAGCCGCATTCTAGCGACACTTCTCTGCGGACATCCGCCACCTGTGGATTTGGTCAGCTCACGGATACTGGTCGGCAAGGGCTGGCTGCTTTAGGCGCCCATATGCGTGCACTGTATGTTGATATGCTGAACTTCTTGCCCAGTACTTTGCCCGCTGATGCCTGCAACACGCTGCATCTAC